CTGAAGGCTTGTGCTTATGGCACACCAGGTTGTGCTGTATTGTCTGAATCCAATTATTCACACAGTAACCAAAGTATATCTCACCTATGACTCACCTATGGCCCTTTTTTATTCATCCTGAGGCTCAGATTAGTGTGTGAATAATTTTGCTGTTTAGTGTTTGCACTTTAAGCATTGTGTGGTAATTGAGTTCAAGTTGTAATAACCTATGTATACTGCGATCCAGTGCTTTTGAAATAAGTACAAAGTGCAACCTGTGTTTTATGAAAAGATGGGGCTTTGTATAAAAGGATAAACACAGCTAAAACAGATAAATAAAGATTAATATTTTGGTAGTGACTGAATTGAATTTATAAGTATTATTCTATCTGGGCTGGGAACAGATAATTAACAGCTAGTAATAAAAGAATTCTATGCAAAAAAGATCTCTAAAGTTTGAAGGCTATGAAAATACTGCTAACTCTTCATTATCCTTCCTTTTGACACTGTAGCAAGAACTGAACTGAACAGCATAAAGCTGTCTAGGCAGTCAAAAGTAAGTTAACTTTTGCTGTTTGTTGCTGTAAGAACTGATATTGGCAGATGGCTTGGTGCCTCTATGAAACATATCTAGCCATAAAACTTTTAGTGTGATGTTGGTTTTCATAAACCGCACCAGAGGATGGAGCAAGATAAGGCCTGGGTCATGTTGCTGATGCTGCTGCACAATCCTGAACCATGAATTGTATTAAATAAAAAAACAATTAGCAGCTGATCAGAGTGTGAGTATGCGTCTAAGGTACACTTATTCAAAAGTGCTGAGGAGTCTCAGCATCATATCTGAAAATGGAAGCATGGAAGGAGAGCCTACTGAAATATAGGAAATCTCTTGCCGATTCTAGGAAAATCTATTTCTCCACCTTAATAGGAGATAAAAAAACAATTCCAGATTCCTATTCAACACGGTAGCAAAATGAACTAGGAATAAAACCACTACAGAGAGAAACACTCAATCATTACATAGCAGTGATTGATAAGGTTTTCATTAATAAGGTTGAAAATATTAGACGTGAAATACAGGCCATTAAATTAAAACGGTATCAATACTGTAACAAACCCATTAGATGACAATGTAGCAATATCAGATCAATATTTAGAGTTTTTTGCTCCGCTTAGAGAGACCGAACTAGCTACATTAATCTCTTCAGCCAATTCATCAACTTGTATACTAGATCCCATACCTACATGTTTGTTTAAACAGATTTATCCAGGAGTAATTGAACCACTTTTAAATATAATAAATTATTCCCTTAACACTGGCTATGTACCTAAATCACTTAAATTAGCAGTTATTAAACCACTGATTAAAAAACCTGACCTTGACCCATCTCAATTGTCAAGCTATAGACCAATATCAAATCTCCCCTTCATGTCTAAGATCTTAGAAAAGATTGTAGCAAAGCAGTTATGCTCGTACTTAGATAGGAACAACATCCATGAAATGTATCAGTCAGGATTTAGACCTCATCATAGCACAGAGACAGTGTTAGTTAAAGTAGTAAATGACCTTCTACTGACCTCTGATCAGGGTTGTGTCTCGCTGCTTGTGTTACTCGACCTTAGTGCAGCTTTTGATACTATAGATCACACTATTCTCCTTGATAGATTAGAAAATGTTGTTGGTATTAAGGGAACAGTCCTCTCCTGGTTCAGGTCTTATCTGACCGATCGTTATCAATTCGTAGATGTAAATGGTGATTTCTCCATGTGTACTGAGATTACTTTTGGAGTTCCACAGGGTTCTGTTTTAGGCCCACTGCTTTTTACTTTATATATGTTACCCCTATGACAAATTATTCGTAAACATGGAATTAGCTTCCACTGTTATGCTGACGATACACAGTTGTATGTTTCAGCGAAGCCAGAGGACAGACAGAAGCTTAGTGAAGTTGAGGATTGTGTAAAGGACATTAGACGTTGGATGTTAACTAACTTCCTTTTACTTAATTCTGATAAAACAGAAATACTATTATTAGGACCACGTGTAGCTAGAAGTAATCATTCTGATTACAAAGTAACTCTGGATGGTCTTTCTGTTTCATCATGTACAGCAGTTAAAGACCTTGGAATTATTATTGACTCCAGCCTATCATTTGATGCTCATGTAGATAATATTTCTAGGATCGCTTTCTTTCATCTCAGAAATATTTCTAAGATAAGAAACATATTGTCACTACATGATGCGGAAATACTGGTTCATGCATTCATCACCACTAGATTAGATTACTGTAATGCCTTATTGTCTGGATGTTCCAGTAGGAATATAAATAAGCTTCAGTTAGTCCAGAATGCAGCTGCTAGAGTCCTAACTAGAACTAGAAGATACGACCATATCACACCAATATTATCATCACTGCACTGGCTCCCAGTAAAATCTCGCATTAACTTTAACATACTTTTATTAACCTATAAAGCACTAAACGGTCTCGCGCCACAATATCTAAGCGACCTTTTGGTTTTATATGATCCTCCACGTCTACTTAGATCAAAAAATGCAGGCTATTTGACGGTACCTCGAATAGTGAAGGCTACAGCAGGGGGAAGAGCCTTCGTTTATAGAGCCTCACAGTTATGGAACAGTCTTCCTCTCAGTGTTCGGGACTCAGACACAGTCTCAGTGTTTAAGTCTAGGCTTAAAACGTATTTGTTTACACAAGCCTACCCTGACTAGATTCTATTTTTACTTCGCAGTCATAATAATCTTTTTTCTCCCTCTCTCCTTTTGCCGAGCCACACACGAATTTATGGAGATACTAGAGGTCCAGATCCTTTCTGCCTCTGGATGGAGCTCAAATCCTCTCTACTTCCGGACTACTGGGACTATGGCTGCACCTAAGACCTTATAAATCCCTTATCAACTTTTCGTATAAATCCATTATCAACTTTTTCACATTATCTGTTGTTACCCAAATGAGGATGGGTTCCCTTCTGAGTCGGGTTCCTCTCAAGGTTTCTTCCTCTTAAAACATCTTAGGGAGTTTTTCCTTGCCACCGTCGCCACTCAGTGGCTTGCTCAGTTGGGATAAATTCACACCTTCATTATCTGTATACCATGTTTCCATTTCTGTAAAGCTGCTTTGAGACAATGTCTATTGTAAAAAGCGCTATACAAATAAAATTGAGTTGAATATGAAAATACAGTCATTTGCAGTGAATTGGTGGGGATTAAAAAACACAGTGAATCGAGACCATGAAAAAAAAGGTCCAGAAACCCTAAGAAGAAAAGAAACCCTACTACAGAAAAAGACAATTATGATAATATATGTTCCAAAGTACCCGTGCTGGCTTATTTCAAAATGTTCCAATCCCACAGACCCACAACACCAGGATTTCTGCCTAGTCTTTTATCTGGATGAATGTCTGCTTAATCAATAGTACCAACAGTAACTGATTAGACAGACAAATGTACTGATTTTGCATATAGAAACACTAGGAATAAAGTCAGTCACAAAAATGGTCACTTGACTCCTTTGCATGAGATTCTAATTAAGTGCCATGCAAGCTTTCTTGATGGAAGACCAAGCCATCTCAATCATAAATGCATTCATTAAATTGATTAAATTTGACCATTTGTTCTGCCAATAATATACTTTGACATAACTTAAACAACATAAATATTTTTTCCCCAAATTACGTAGGAATGCTTTATTTAGGCTACTTTCCAGCCTTACATTGTCTGTCTGCCTGCGACATAAATGCAGTCAGTTTGCCTAAAGATGTCAAAACCTTGCTAACTAAGTCTGCTTTTCTCAAAGTTTAAGATAAATAAACGTAGGACACAAGCCTAATTAAATCACTTTGAAATTAAATAGCAGCTGTCAAATTCTCAGCAATGTTCCTGCACAGCATCATCAATATACTCATCATCATCATCATCATCAAAAAGAAAAGAAAGCAGACATTTTTAAAATGATTAAATGAACTACTAAAATGCATAACAGTGTAACAGTTTGAGAATAAAAGGAGATTCAGATTTTTTGGCACTTTATTATTCTTTTTAATGTAATATCTTACTCACTGGTCATTTAAATGAAACTCAAAATACAGGGAAACCCTAAGAATAAATGTCACTGTTTCAGCTTCTCACACACAGGAGAGAACTGACTGAGAAGAAAGGACTTAGATTAGGTTATATAGGGAACAAAATCAGCATGACCAGATGAACCCATTCAGTAATTATCCCTTTTGTTTACTGGCTCACCCTGTATACCCTAGCATGAATAATGCTGAAGTGAGGGTAGGTTACCGTGACCCCTGGCAGCATTGCATAGCCATTTATAACCATAACCACAGGTGTGCCTTAAAGTGTCATCACATGACTGCTCCGCAGGCAGGGGCACCATTGACACAAAATATTATACCTTCTGGTTCCTGTCAATGTCGCTTGATGCCACAGGAGGTGTGTCTGCATCCATGGCTGTGCAAATTGCACACCTCTTTGACTGCTGGTCATTTGCTCAAAAATGTTTGAGACCCCGTAAGTTAGGCTGAACTCAATTCCTATTCATACATGACAATAAAGATATATGTTCCAGCTGTTGACTTGAGTCCAAGACATGAGATTTACTTACATACCCCAATATGATGGTTGATGTGAACATTAGCTGCAGTTGCTGACCCATATCTGCATGATTTTATGCATTGCAGGGCTGCCACATGATTGCCTGAGCAGATAAAGGCATGGATGTGTGCAGGTGTTCCTAAAAAGGTACTTAGAGTTAGTTTGTGACACTGAAAACAGAGCAAAGACTGGAGGATTCATACATCAATCCCACTACCTCTCGCATGCTGAGCGAGCACTCTACCATCTGAGCTAATCCCCCTGCAAAAAATACAGGATCTCCTTATTATCAGACAGGGTGTAAGATGCCTGGCTGAGCAGATAAAATGTATGCATGTGTGCAGGTGTTCCTAAAAAGGTTCTCAGGGATTGAATTTTACACTGAAAACAGAACAGAATTTGAGGGTTGTGGGCATCGATCCCACTACCTCTCACAGGCAAAGAGAGCACTCTACCACCTGAACTAATACCCCTACCCCAACGACATGATCTCCATATTTCCAGACAGGGTGTAAGATGGCTGATGAGATAAATGCATGAATGTGTGCAGGTAAACAGAACAGAGATTGGAGGATGCCGGCATTGATCACGCTACCTAACACTTAATTTTGCATCATAAATTAAATGTTGAAGGGTATCTAATGCTAAGTAAGTTTATTTTAGTAAATTCATTCATAAAGCACACTTAAATGAAAGTGATGTACAGGTGAATCTCAAAAAACTAGAATATCTTAGAAAACCATAAAAGTTAATTATTTCCCAAATTAATTTTAAAAGTGGAACTTTTATATGTACCTTTGATTGATTACACATAAAGTGAAATATTTCAAGCCTTTTTTGTTTTAATCTTGATGATTATTACTTACAGCTCATGGAAATAAAAAAATCATTAGATTCAAAATTCAAAATATTAGAAAAAAGAACTTATAATACAGAATTGTCAACCTTTTGAGAAGCATGTTAATTTATGCACTCAATACTTGGTTGGGGCTCCTTTTGCAAGAAGTACTGCATCAATGAGGCGCGGCATGGAGGCAATCAGCCTGTGGCACTGCTAAGGTGATATTGAAGCCCAGATTGATGGACACAGTGGACCAACACCAGTAGATATGGAACACCAAATCATCACTGACTATGGAAACTTCACACCGGACTTGAAGACAGAATTTGAATTCTGTGCCTCTCCACTCTTCCTCTTCCTGACTCTGGGACCTTGATTTCCAAATTAAATGCAAAATTCACTTTCAGCTTCCGCATGATTGTGGTTGTGTGTACTAAACCAGACTGAAAGATTAAAGGCTCAGTGTCATATCACAGCAAACCAGCAACTCAATTTCCCATTAAGCACCATGAACTACTTCCATTTCAAAATGATCGCTTGCACAGTGCTCCTTGGGATGTTTAAAGCTTGGGAAATCTTTTTGTATCCAAATCCGGCTTTAAACTTCTCCACAACAGTATTACGGACCTGCCTGGTGTGTTCCTTGGTCTTCGTGATGCTCTGTGCGCTTTCAACAGAACCCTGAGACTATCACAGAGCAGATGCATTTATACAGAGACTTGATTACACACAGGTGGATTCTATTTATCACCATCAGTCATTTAGGACAACATTGGATCATTCAGAGATCCTCGCTGAACTTCTGGAGTGAGTTTGCTGCACTGAAAGTAAAGGAGCCGAATAATTTTGCACGCACCACTTTTCAGTTTTTTATTTGTTAAAAAAGTTTAAAATATCCAATAGATTTTGTTCCACTTCACAATTGTGTCCCACTTGTTGGTGATTCTTCACAAAAAAATTTAATTTTATATGTTTGAAGCCTGAAATGTGGCAAAAGTTTGAAAAGTTCAAGGGGGCCGAATACTTTCGCAAGGCACTGTATCCCTGGACTACTAGCCACGGATGTACCCCTCGAATGATCGTGGTTGTGTGTACTAAATCAGACTGGAAGATTAAAGGCTCAGTGTCATATCACAGGAAACCAGCAACTCCATTTCCCAGGAATCACTATGAACTACAAACATGGCCGAAGAGGACTACATTTCCCACACACTCACCTATCCAATCTCACATACATTCACAACCGTAGTATATGAGACTGTTCAAACACTAGGACTGTGAGATGCCTTACGTTCAGGTGCCTGGTCTCTGTCATACGTCCAAGCCTTATATCATATTTGCTTATCTGATCTTTGACCTTTGTTTACTCTGTTGACGTCGATCACTTGCCCTGTCTAGTTTTGCCTGTTTGCCTGTTCGCCTTACCTCTGATTATCTTTGACTATTGATTTCTGCCTAAGTCTTGGACTTTGTTTGATTAAACTGCAATACCTGCACTTGCTTCTGTCTCAGCCTCCATTTCGTGACACTCAGGAAACCCTTGCAGGTATTTTGAGTTAATTCGCTGATTAGAGTTAATTCGCTGAGCTCTTCTCAGGTCAACATTTCTGTATTATAAATTCTTTATTCTAATATTTTGAGATATTGGATTTTTGAGTTCATGAGCTGTAAGTTGTAATCATCAAGATTAAATTAAAAACAGGCTTGAAATATTTCACGTTATGTGCAATCAATTTAGAATGTATTAAAGTTCCACTTTTTTAATTAAATTATGGAAAAAAATAACTTTTCATCGTAATTTTTTTTTGAGATACAGCTGTACATAAAATTGCAACAAGCATAAAAAAGAAAACTTAAAACAGTTACGAAAGACTGTTTGGAGTTTTAATTAAAAAATCTGTACCAGTGGAACAGGCAAAGGCTGAAAGGCACAGTCACCCTTGAGTTTCTGCTAGGACCAGGAACAGCCAAGAGAATATCATCTATCAGTAATGTTGTCACAAGTCTGCGAAAGACTTTAAAAGAATCATAAACTGGATCCTGTAATGGACAGGGAGCCAAAGAATGGAGGCTAAAACAGGGGTGATGTGATGCTTTTTCTTAATCTAATAGCCACATTCTGTACTAACTGTGCAATGGCCTTGCGGTGCCTGCAAAAGTATTTACCTCCCCCCCGGCATTTTTCTCATTTTGTTGCCTTACAGCCCGGAATTAAAATAGATTTTGGGGGGGTTTGTATCATTTGATTTACACAACATGCCTACCACATTGAAGATACAATGAAAAAAAAACATCTTATTATGAAACAAACAAGAAATAATACAATAAAATAAAAAACTTGAGCGTGCATAACTATTCAGTCACCTTTTGCAGCAATTACAGCTGCAAGTCTATTGGGGTACATCTCTATATAATTGGCACCTCTAACCACTGGTATTTTTTCCCAATCTTCAAGGCAACACTGCTGTATCTCCTGCAAGTTAAATGGGTTCCGTTGGTGTGCAGTAATCTTTAAGTCATAATACAGATTCTTAATTGGATTGAGGTCTGTGCTTTGATTAGGCCATTCCAAGACATTTAAATGTTTCTCATTAAACCACTCAAGTTTTGCTTTAGAAGTATGCTTAGAGTCATTGTCCTGCTGTTAGGTGAACCTCCCAGTCTCAAATCTCTCGAAGACTGAAACAAGCTTCCCTCAAGAATTTCCCTGTATTTAGCGCCATCCATGTTTCCTTCAATTCTGATCAATTTCCCAGTCCCTGCCAATGAAAAACATCCACACAGCACGATGCTTCCACCACCAAGCTTCATTCACTGTGGAGATGTTGTTCTTAGGGTGATGGGTTTGCACCAAACATAGTGTTGGAAACAAGCAAACTTGTTTCCTTCTTTTTTTCCTTTTTTTTCTGGCCACTCTTTAAGCTGTTCTGTGGAGTCTACTCCTTAAAGTGGACCTATGGACAGATACTCCAATCTTCACTGTGAAGCTTTGGTAAATGGGGCCCTTATATAGCGCTTTTATCCAAAGCGCTTTACACTGTGTCTCATTCACCCATTCACACACACACACAACACACTCCAATGGTAGCAGAGCTGTCATGCAAGGCGCTAGCTTGCCATCGGGAGCAATTGGTTCAGTGTCTTGACAAGGACACTTCGGTATGTGGAGTCACCCGGGCCGGGAATCAAACCGCCAACCCTACGATTAGTGGACAATCCACTCTACCAACTGCGCCACAGCCGCCCGCTTTGCAGCTCCTCCAGGGTTATCTCTCTTTGTTGCCTCTGCCTTCTGCCGCTGGGTGGCGGGCCCAAAGCGTGTCTCGCCGTGAGAGCCCATCCGCGTTCCCGTGTAGGGCCCCCGCCCGGTGTTGGACTTGGAATGAGAAGTCCTGTAGGGCGAGAAACCAGCGGTTACCTTGGCGTTTGTGTCCTTGGCCTTGTCCATCCATTGGAGGGGGGCATGGTCCGTTACCAGGATGAAGTGCCGGCCAACCAGGCAGTACCGCAACTCCCACTTTATCGCCAAGGCCTCCCGTTCTACAGCTGCGTACCTTTTTTCAGCGGGGGACAGCTTCCGGCTGATGTAGAATACCGGGTGCTCTTCTTCCTCGAAGGTTTGGGAGAGGACTGCGCCCAACCCGGTTTCAGACGCATCAGTGTGTACCGTGAACGGGAGTGAAAAGTCCGGATTGGGCGCTGGTGAGGGCCTCTTTCAGGGCTTGGAAGGCCCTCTCTGCCTCGGCTGACCACTTCACCTGGTCCGGCTGGCGCTTTTTTGTGAGATCTGAGAGAGGGGAAGCTATTGCCGAGAAGTTATGCACAAAGCTTTGATAATACCCCGCCAACCCCAAAAAGGCACGTACCTGCTTTTTCGACGGGGGTCGGGGTAGTCTTTTACGGCTTCGATCTTCTACGCCTGTGGTTTCAGCAACCCTTGCCCAATGTGGTATCCCAGGCACTGTGCCTCGGTTAACCCCAGGTGACATTTCTTGGGGTTGTCTTTGAGGCCAGCTTTCCGGAGCCCCTTTAGGACCTCCCCCAGATGGAATAGATAGTCTGACCATGCGGAGGAATGGATGACTACATCATCTAAGTACGCCTCTGCAAAGCTGCGGTGGGGTCGTAGGATGATGTCCATCAGCCGTTGGAAGGTGGCCAGTGCCCCGTGTAGACCAAAGGGGAGGACCTGGTACTGCCAGTGGCCGGTGGAAGTGCTAAAGACCGTCTTGGGCCTTGCATCGGGGGCTACGGAAACTTGCCAGTACCCTTTTGTGAGGTCCAGGGTGGATATGAAGCGGGCCCTCCCCAGATGCTCCACAAGGTCGTCCACTCGGGGGAGGGGGTAACTATCGAAGCTGACAGCTGGTTCAGTCTCCGGAAGTCATTACAGAGCCGTAGGCTCCTGTCGGGTTTCGGCACTACAACAATGGGGCTGGACCAGGGGCTGCTGGATTCCTCGATGACCCCTTCCCGTAGCATCCGGTCCACCTCTTCTTCTATGGCCTTGCGCCGGGTTTCTGGGACATGATAGGGTCTCTGTCTCACCACTACTCCAGGTGGTGTTTTTATCTCGTGGTGGACTACCTGGGTCATTCCCGAGGGGAAGAAGAGGAGAACATGTCCGAGAAT